ACTTTAGAATAATTATTTTTTGCATATTTTCAATATTAGAGCATTACCAAAGTGAGGCATGATCTTTCTACTATATTGTTAGAAGATATATATGCCAATTTTTCTTGTCATAAAGAAAAAAAATTGAAAATTCTCTGTGACATTCTCTGTGACACCCTTATATGCTTTTTAAAAAGTTTGGAGATGCTTGAATATCTTCCTTTATATCTGTCACATTGTCACAAAGAGTCACAAAGAAAAAGTAAAGTTATAGAAAAAAAAATCGTAATTTTCCTATAGTATATATATGATATATGTGTATGGTTTATATATGTATATGGTATATATGTTTACCTATAGATAAAAAAAAAAAAAAAAGTTAAAAACTCAAATTTTTCTTTGTGACTCTCTGTGACAATATGACACCTATCTGAAAACCTTTCAATAGCTCTAAAAATACGAATTAGCTATAAATTTTGTTCCAAAGAGTGTTCCCAAGAGCGTTGTTATATTTTTTTTCTTTGTGACAAGAAATCTGAAAGACGCTTCTATCTACACTTAATTACTCACCAGTCCTTATGTTGAAGCTAATTCAGCCAGCTTTTTCTGATGGTAATGTTTATTTGATCTATATTTTTTTGTATACGTATCACAATAGTCATATTTGGATTTTATCGGCTCATCACATTCTTTGCAAAAAACCTGCTTAGAGTTTCAGTAGACTTTACATCCCTTTTGATGATAGCATCTCTGATTGTACACTTCTCCAGTTCTAAGAATATATGGACAATTATATAATACCAGGGTATCCCTTTTTTTTCTGTCCCCATTTATATGTATCAATTAATAATGTCAGGAAATTAATTTCATTTTAAACTTTTTTCTTACGAATAATATACCTTGAGTTTTGGTATAACTATAAATTATTTTAAATTGTTTGAGAAAAAAATGACACAATCTGAGTTCCTCGACGCCTTCGCCTTTTCACGCAAAGGCTAAAAAAAATAAAATGGAAGCTCAAGTAATTTACTATTCCGGTGAAAAATACTTGTTGGGCTTTTCAACACTAGATGATATAGTTGTGAGAAATGATGAGAAATTAACTCTAATACTCGAGAATGCTCTATCTAAACGACAAGAAATTCCATTCATGGCTATTGAGAATAAAGGATTCACAGAAAGGATAAATGGAATGTACCATTATGTATTGCATCTTTATGGTCGTCTTATTAATGGCCAAAAGGTACTGGTAACTCTTATAAACATTCAGGTTTTCTTTGACATTCTCATACCAGACGGAGAAACTCCAGATAAATGCAAAGAAAAGGTGAGCGAAATTCTCTCTGGTATTGTGAAATCATATAAAATAGAACATATTAAAGCATTCCCTTTCTGGGGTTATCATACTGAAAAAAAGTCATATTTACGAATTTATACGAATGGTACTGGAGAGAGAAAAAAAGCCATCCAAGCTATCCAAGAAAAAATTTCGAAACTGCTTCAGATGATTTATACTTATTCTACTGAAAGGTAGCTCGAGAAAATGGAATCCAACTCTCTGAATAGTCTACAATAAACAAATATATATGTAAGAAAGGCAAGCAGACCAGCCCGCTTTGTCCGCACAAATTCTACGTATTTATAAAAGATTTCTGTTTACTGGAAAATCTTACAATAATAAGCGACCAATTCCCTATTTCAGCTCTCCTACAGGATCGTACTCTTATCCTTACATGGGATATAGAGACATAATCATGAGAATTGGGAGAATTTGCAGAAGTTCTTGAACAGAAAAACAAGATCTTTATAATTTGTAAGACATTACACTAAAAAGATGATCCAAAATCACTAAAGCAAATATGTCTATTTAATGTTGAAATGGAATCAGATCTGTGATGGATGACAATCATATGTAGAAATCAAGTAAATCTACTAAAAGCTTTCAGGAAAGAGCATATCATCTCAATATACTCGAATGGATGTGAGAGCGAATGACAGGAAAGTTCAAAATAAAGGAAAAAATTTTAAAGTGGAAATACCGTGAAAAGATAGCAGCGAAATCTGAAAATGATTTTGTGAAAAAGCATCCTGTTAAGGCTCCTGAGAAAGGTGAAGAGGATCTGGAGGAGAAAGAATATATGGGCAGTCCAATTAAGGTCAAAATTAGTGCAGGAGATTATTTTACTTCTAGCTTCCTTAAACTGCTAGGTTGCGTACCGATTGATGTCTAAGTGTGTCTCAAAAAATGTTTTCCTTGTTCTAAAGTCGAAAAGGAAAGCTCACTTAAATTCTTCATACAAAAATTCAGTCTTAACAGTAAGGCCGATATGCTATACGATAAAATGTGAAAAATCTATTCAAAGGCAAAAAAAAGCCCCTCTTCGTTAACTGCAAGAAATATGCATGAAGTAGCATAATACTGTATTATAGACGCACTGTGCTGTCAAGAGCTTTTGATAAACCAAAGTATAATAAATGATTATAAAGAAGTTGCCTCTATAGCTTATGTTTCTCTTTTTGACACACATTATCGTGCAAATGGAATGAAAGTACAGAACCTTCTCAATGCATATGCTATCAAATAAGATATGATAATTAGTACAAGGATTCCTGAAGACATAGAAAAAGGGAAATATCCTGATGCGTATGTATTTCCACCTAAAAAAGATATCATGTCAGAAAGACCTGTAACAAGTCTAGATTTTGCATCTTTATATTCTAGCATTATCATGGCTTACAACCTCTCCTTAGAAAAAATTATATTGGATTGAGAAAAGGCTGATAATGTTCGTAAAAATGGGAACAAGCTTCATACGATTGAGTTTAAATTCAATAAGCGTGACATTCAAGCTTAGTGTGTATGTCACGAAAATCAATCTGAGAGGAAAGAATTATATCTGACAGTATTAGAGGATTTATTTAACAAGAGGCGGGAGCTTAAAGCACATCTGGTCCCACTAGAAAAGAAAAGGCAACATCTTGGGAAGATGATAAGTTTAGCTAAAGAAAGAGGCAAAAGAATTCCGGAAAGCTTAAATTTAGAATATTCATCTGTATGTTTCGATTACGATTATTGAAATTCGAAATAAAAAGCTTTGAAGGTATACATGAACACTTTTTATGGGAAAGCTGGAAACTCATTATCTCCAATCTTTCTTCGTGAATTAGCCTGTGAAACTACTATGATAGGAAAATATAACCTTAATTTTGTTGCTGAATTCATATCAAAGAAAGCGTTTGGGATAAATATAGGAATACCGATTCTTTGTATCTCATCTGCCCAGATACTGTAGGTATTATGAGAAATGCAATGAAGCCTTCTCTAGAAAAGAACTTTTCAAAAAAGCGTACTGGACTGAAATAGTTAAAATTACTATGAAGTGATGAAAAAGTTGTGTGATCAAGTAAACGCTAATCTTAGAATAAAAAGTGGGATATCTTATCTAAATATGACATATGAAGAAGTATTATTTCCTGTCTGCTTTATTGGTAAAAAGAAATACTTTGGGGTTGGGTATGAAGATATAATAAACTTTAAACTGAAAAATCTTTTCATGAAAGGAATAGATACCGTAAAGTAAGGTAAATCTCAGCTTTTCAAATTCATTAGAGAGAAGATAATGAGAGAGGCTATGGATATAAATAATATGCGTCTAATTCACAAAATTGTTAAAGATACTCTTAGAGAAGCAGGAAACAAGGAATAGGATTTCAATGAATTTATTGTGATAGGGACATGAAGGCCTAAGAAAAAAAAATCTCTGCAATAATTGCTTTATGAAACGTATAAGAGAGAGAAATGAGAGGATTTCTGATTCTGGTAAACAGTTTAACTATGTCATTATAAAGGGTCACTATCTTCGTGATGAAAAAGGCAGGTTAATACCATATAGAGTTGGGATTATATAGAATATCTATCGAACATAGCAAAAGAGCAAAACATGGAAATAAATATTAATTATTATTTAGGCACTACAGTTGCAATATACGCACGCTTTATCAATGAAAACAATAGTTATCAACCATCCCATCACATAAAATAATGCAGATCAAGGATCCAGATATGAGAAAAAAGAAGATCGACAAACACTCCCAAAACGAGGTTGTAAGACAGCTTAAAAATATATAAAAACTTTACAATAAACTTTCTAAGTACTTTTAGCGGGATGTGGCAATTTTAGCTAAGAAAACTTAGCCGTTAAGGCGTTTCGCATAATATTATTTACATATTTTTTCTCATACAATAATATCAGTTAACTTTAATTCCTATCTTCAAACTTCTGTCCTAGGACGATTACTCTAAACTTCTAGCCTTCGATCGTATAACACAACCTCAGAAATGTCTAGAGATGATAAAAAATAATTCCAGTTAGAAGAATAGTCGGTATTACTTTTTTTCCACAAATTTCATATCCTTCTTCCAACGATCCATATAATTGCAAGAAATAGTAAAGTAAGTATAGTATATGATATCAACAGTGACATCAAAGAACTTGCAATGACAGGGATAGCTGATACTAGAGGCATTACTTGGGCTGGTAGCACTACTTCTGTGCTACCTGATTGCTCTGCAACCCCTTTACTCGAAATATACTTTTCAGAATATGCTGGTCAACTATGAACAAATTGATTAGGTAGGGTATCTGCCTGGTTAATAGTCTCTTTTGGGATTACACTTCTCAAAACTATTCCATTCTGGGGTAATAGCTCTTGCAAAGCCTCTAATACATTTTTCCTAGCAAAACTTTTATTGAATTCCATAACTTTATTTTCAAGACTGAGCTTATAGACGAAGGGTTTTAAATCATTATTGACCAAGCCTGGTAGTTTTTGCGATGAATCATTTATAGATAGAAATGAATCTACTACATTATTTTTCTTTAATACTAACTGGTCCCTGAAAGACTTATTTTCCTCTATTAATTTTAATTGCGCTGAAGACAAAGCATCTATTTTCTGACTGCTTATCTCATGTGTTACTTCTATCCCTTTTTTCATACATTCTATTATATATTCTTTTAAATTACGGTCCTCATTTGCTCGCTCTAATTTAAACCTAAGAGAATTGATCTTTTTGGGATTATCCATTCAAATGAGTTTATTTGGGCCAGCTTCTCTATCACTCCTCCTATTACATCTGAATCATGAGATACCTCCAAATTTCCCAACTTACCTTCCAATTTATGTATTTTAGCTTCAAGAGAAAGAATCTTGATCTTGTCAGCAGACAAAGCTTTCTGAATCAAAGTTGCCTCTCTCTTTAGTGTTTTAATATTTGATTTAAGTGATTTGATTTTGGCAGTATATTTGGCTCATTCTGCTTCATGCTCACGTTTACTCTCAGAATGAGACTTCCATTCAGAAGTAAATTTGAATCTAAGCTTAATATATGCATTATTTAACTGGCTAACTTTATTTCTAATATCAGCATAGCTTTGCTGAAACTCCTTTTCTCGCTCTAAACATATATCCTGCAAGTTTCTGTATTCATTAGCAAGATCAGTAACAGATTTGCTACTAATGCGCAATGCCTTCTCAAGCTTCATTTCACAAGCATTACTAAGATAATGGCCTGAGCTAACATCTTTGATAGTATACACATTAGTCATGACATACTTTCGTATACACTTTAATGATATAGAAAAAAATATTTTACAAATTATATATTATGATTTGTGTAATTGGTTACCTCACATTTTTTTGGTAAAGTTCCTGGATAATGACTAGAAAATTATATTCTTAAACACGAAATAGATATTAAATATTATTGATGATTGTTAAAAATGCATAGAAGATTTTTAAGATCAAATGCCACTCCATTATTGCCTAAAGCTATCAAAGAAATTAGAAATGCTTCAAGAAATATTTCAAATGCAGGTCACATTATATGTAAAAAATATCATATTGGCATAAAAAGGTATAAGGATATAGTTAATAATCAAATACCTTCTGAACCTACTGAAAAATGAAAATTTATTACAAATTCAATCTATTCATCTCAGAAGATTGATTGGGATAAAGAAATTGAAAACATATATGATTTGTATGCTGAACTTCCTAGCTGAGAATTTTTGAAAAATTTATAATACTTATATTTTCCTTTTCTTGTACCTTTGGCACTGTGGAAGATGATCAAACCTTTTTTCTTTCAGGTTAAGAAAATATGATAAGCTTTCTTCTGAAGGTCTATGACTGAACTTTTTTCAAATTTATAAGAAAAAGTGGAAAATATTTAATAAAAACTGGTCTTTTTTGATAATAATCGATAAAAATTAATAATTATTTATGGATTTTCTTTTACAATAAAATGGAACGTCTATATAAAAAATATTATAGCGCAAATGCTACCATTTTATCACCTGAAGCACTTGAGAAAATTCGCAATTCCCGTGAGAAAGTTAAAAATGCTGTAACAGTAATGGCTAAAAAACATCATATCACAACAAAATGAGTTTATGAAATTTGACACAAACATGCATTGGACCAGCCTGATCGTGCTCAACAAGATATTATATTTTCTAATCATTTCTTCATTCACGTGAAGTGCCTTCTGACCAGAATTCAGATGATAATCAGAAATCTTCACATAATTTTTCTTTCTTCTCTGGTAGTTCCATACAAATGCAGACAGACAAAAAGAAATCCAAGTTTAAGTCAGTTCGTATTTCTGATAATAAAGATTTATCGAAAAGGTAAGTGGGATATTAGAGACAAAAAAAGAACAAGTGTCAAAGATACCGTTATCCTCCAGTCTATTGCCCATTATTCTGCAAGATTCTGAAGATGCTCTGGAAGTGTTTAAGAAGGCACAAAATGAAATGGAAAAGGCTGTGGCAAAAGATTGTGCACTTGAACAAAAATTAAAAACTTGACCTTAGCATCGTTCATATCACTCACAAAGATTATTATCCCTATAAGAAATCGAAATAAGGAAATGATACGTTTTTTTTAAGGTTTGTATACGTAATTAATGATTCTATATCA